TATATCGTTGTTTTTTTCTTAATGACTCATTAAAATAAAAACAAATTCTTTTTGTAAGAATGCTGATGCAATGCGTTGTTCGAAAAAAATGACGAATCGTTACTTCATTGTTTTTCTTTTATCGTCATTTCTAAGAAAATGTGTTGTGTAGATATTTATATATATAGAGAGAGAGATTGAAGTAGACAGCTGTGCAGAAGGTCTATTGAATAGTTGATTGTAGTCAGGAAATATAAATGAGAGAGCATACAACAGAAAAAATTTGGATGAGAGTTTCTAGGACTACCATTAGCTATTTTTTTTTCCACACACATACGATTGTAGTTTTTATGTTAGTCTGATTCGATTGTCGTTGTGCATTCTTCTTCTTCTTTTTTTTCTTCTGTCTTTTCTTCCATTAATAATCAATGCGAGAATATAGCGCTGTTTATAGAAGCTTTATGTTTGTCTAGCATCACTTTTTCTTTCAGTTTCCATATGAGTCTCCTACTCAATTCTTTCTCTCTTCACACTAAACAATATAAATAGAACTCGTGTTTTTTTTTCTTGCAAACATGTTTAAATTCTTTTAGATTTCCCGTTCTTTTTTTCTCTATTTTCAATCGACAAAAAAACCGAACAAATGAACAACCGAAAATCACCTATGAAACAACAACGTTCGAAAAATTCTCATTTTCTATCTGTATCAAATTCAAATCGCATACATTCAACTAGTAGTATGAATTTATCATATTTAAAAAATTTAAATTCTTCATATCGTTATTATTCTCATACAAATTCACCTGTAGCAATGTCAGCTAGTTCATCACCAGCTGTACCATTATTTTATTCTCAAACATATGCTGATCCACCCGAATGTTCATTATTACCAAAACCACCTGAATCATGGTATTTAAATTCTAATGATGAAAATCTTCCAATTGAAATTGAAGAAAATAAAGAAATACCGAAACAGAAAATTCAACAAAAATCATATCAGAAAAATCATAATCATAAGAATAATAATCATAACAAAGGTATTTATAGTTCATGTTATTCAACAAGAAACTATGAAAAACTTCCAACACAATACATATCTGTTAAAGGTTAAAATTCTAAATTAAAGGTTTTTTTCTTTTGATCTTTGAGAATGACCTTTTCTCTTCTTCTTTTGTACAGTAGTGCTTTGTTTTTTTCTCATGCAATCTCTTTGTCAATATATACATATATATGTGAGTATAGCAAAGCAGTATTTTGTACATACGGCTGAGTTTCTCTGTCGTTGACGAAAACGGTGATTCTTTTTCTCTAATCAGGATATTGCAATAGGTTGTTTTTTTTTTGTACGTTTGTGTTTAATGGCAGACAATAACAAGAGTCATTTCTAGTCTGTTTTGAGTTTTTTTTCGCGTTTTGAAATTTGACTTAACAAAATAGAATTAGTTCTTGTTTTCTTTTTTGGTTATTTCGCTTGATCGATTGATAACAGTGAAATTATTTGCTTTGTTTTTATTTTTTCTCATTCGACTGTGATATAACAAAGAAGGAGAAGAAATTAAAATAAATAACTTTAAAAAAAATTTTTTTGAATTATTTTTCGATCTTGCGATTTTTTTGTTTGTGTGCCATTTGTTATGTTTGTCTATTATTGTCTTCCTATATGTATTTATTCAGTTCTGTTCTTTGTTTTTTTTTATGTTTAGTCTTTTCTATGTTGTTGATTATGACTTTTCCGATGCTGTGTGACTCAAGTCAGATTGTTGATTAAGTCAAGTTTTCTCCAGCATAGATCGAAAGTTTTCTATGTTTTTTTTTCTTTATGTAGTAAAATAAATATGTCCTGTTGAAAAAAAAACCAAGGCTGTGATTCGAACAAATGCAAATGGCATTTTATCATATTATTATGATTTGATATGAGGAAGTAAAAATAGAACTAAAAAGAAATTGATTTGTTATTGTTGATATTTAAGAAAAGTGTTTCTTTAACATTTCTGATGATGATTTCTTATGCAAACAGGATTGTGTTAAGCTTAACAAAATAAAGAGCTCAGTCATCAAGAACTTTCTCAAATATTTACGTAGAAAAAGAATGTTTATCATAAGATAAGATTTATTTGCATCATTCATTTGCCTGTAATTATACGTAAAAAAACACAACATTTATTATCTTTGGGTATTTTTCATTCAGTCACAGAGATCTAGTACACTTGTTATCGTCGGGTGAAGTTTTTCTTTCTCTAAGTTACATTTATCCATACAAAAAATTATGTTAAATCTGCAAGATAGATCACCAAGTGACGACGATAAATTAACATATGATATATATCAAATGACAAATTATTATTCATAATTACGTCTTCTATTTAATACAACTATTATATTTATTTAAAAAGAGTAGAAAAAGAATGTACACACGAATACAGAAAAACGAACGTGAAAGAGTAAATATGATATATTGAGATTGATAATAACTTTTTATCCGGAGATAGAATAATACACCTGAGTTAGAAGTTAGTAAATTTTAATCAGCATAGCTAATGTTTGCTTATATTACACAAATGATTATATCGGTAGATATAAGCAAACATTTAAAAAGAAAAGAAAAAAAAAACGAATATTTTTTAATAATGAAAGACAAACAAATAATACTAGACAGATTTCTTATAAAAAAGAAAAGCGAAAAGTTTTAGCGCACTAATTTTTTTACTATACGAATTGTCTATAATTTTTGATAAAGTCCAACAAGACTTTTTGTTGCAAGGGCAATATTATAACAATCATCAATTATATATTGAATCTGTTCCGTTCGATTAGTATTACTTGTTGTTGAAGTTTTTTCTTTTAATGCTGCATGAGCTAGAAGTTGTTGAGCGCCTGTATTTAACATGTCTAGATTTGTTCGCATTTCGTCATTTAATGAAATCTAAACAAATTTAGTAAAATATTATCTCTAAAAAAAAACATAATCATTCATAAATTTAACTTTTTATTATCATAGATTATCACCTTCAGAGTCAAATTTTTTTTCTCTCTTTTCAAGTTGAAGTCAGAGCTGCAGGAGTGAAAATTTTCGGAATCAAAAAGTTTAAATCCACAGGGTTCTAATACTGAGACATTATCAAACAGAAGATAGACTTAGGATAAGTCATATGGTTACTTGATAGGATACAAATTACATTGTGACATAAATTAACTTATTCAATCGTTATTGAGTATTTAAAAACTAAATTTTCTTATTTCTTTAATAGATTCAAAACAACATACTCTATCAAATAAACGAATCATATCTTGCACTGAATTATTAATTCGTTCGGCACATGTAACATATCTAGAAATTCAAAAAAAAAAAAATTCTTATTATGAATATTCTTAAATGAATATTTCTACCGATCAGATTGATTTTCTTTTATTAAACTAAATAATTCTGCAATACGATGAGTTATTTTTCTTGTTCGTTTATCGATATCACCATTGGATTCTGCTTGTCCACATGAACCTTAAAAAGACATCAATTTTGATTTTCTATTTTCTTATTTTATTTAAAATACCTTTTCGTGATAAAATTGGAGGTGACATTGCTTTATTTCGTCCACCAGAACATGATCGAGCACGACCATTACTTATTGGAATAATTGAAGTTTGTATTTGTGATGTTTGATTTGCTGAAGATTTTGTTATTGATACTTCAACATTTGTATTTATATAATCTGTTGATCGAAATGAACGAGAATTATTTAAAACATTTGTAGAATTTTCTTCCACTTGCGGAAATCGTTGCATACTACGACTAGAGCTACATAATAAATTTCAAGATGAATAAAACATTTACGTTGATAAAATACCGTTTATCATGACCATATGCTATTTGTCGAATTGAATTTGATGATGGACTAAATGTTTTTGTTTTTTCAAGAGAAATAAAGTTCTGAAAATTTCAATAGTATATTTACTTTTCAGGATCTTCAATAACTGTTGTATTGTCATAATCACTTTCAACAATGGGACTTGATTTTCGACTATGATTATCAAATAATTGTTGAGCTGACTAGAAGAAAAAAAAAAGAAATCAAAAAGTGTTTTAATTCTGCTTAGCTTCGTTTACAAAAATACAACTAAAACTATTTCATACAACTGAAAATGACGGTGTTACTATTGGTTTGACGATGTTCCATGACGAATTTTTCAATTATGCGAAAACTTTTCATTTGTTAAGCATCGAGTGAAGAAACAAAAAATAGCTGCACGTTGTCTTTTTTCTTTCTCACGAGAAAACTATTTGAACTGATACGTGCTATTTTTTCAAATGTTTGTATAGGATTTTTTACGGAAAGAAACGACTTATGTTGTACTATTTCCGGTAGTGCATCAATGAATCGAGAAGAAAACAGTTTCAGAAAATATTTTACTAATAAAAACGTGTTTTATAACTGGGACCGATTTGAGCTCTGTGACTAGTACAGAGACACATCAGCATTATTCGAGTGCATCAAAATCGATTCACTTAAAAAGTATTCACCCATTCGGATGCAACACTTTCAAACAAAACTTCCGATAATGATCCTATGCGTAAAAATTAAATTACTTTATTAATAATTCTGTTAATATCATCATTATTAACTAAATTTGATGTATTTGTTTGTATTTGTGAAGANCCTTCTATATCTCCTATATCTCCTATAACTCCTATACCTATCTATCTATCTACCTCTTACCCTAGGACATAATGGAGTTTCCGGGGATATTCTCCGAAGACATGTAATCGGTGATCCTGGTACAGCTAAATCACAATTACAACAATACATATTTCGATTAGTACCTCGCGCACAATATACTAATGAAAAAGGTACAAGTGCTGTTGGTCTTACTGCTTATGTAACAAAAGATCCTGAAACTGGTCAACTTGTTCTTCAAACGTAAGGCTAAATAAATTCTTTTTTCTTTACTTGAGAATTTCTATTTATTTTAGAGGTGCATTAGTTCTTGCTGATAATAGTATTTGTTGTATTGATAAATTAGATAAAATGAATGAAAGTGCTCGATCGATTCTTCATGAAGTTATGGTATATTAAATACATTTATTTAAATAAATCAAAAAAAAATATGAAATTTATTTAGGAACGGCAAACATTATCAATAGCTAAAGCTGGTATTATATGTACATTAAATGCTCGTACATCAATATTAGCTGCAACTAATCCAATTGAATCACAATAGAATAAATCTAAAACAATTATTGAAAATATTCAATTACCACCGACATTATTATCACGTTTTGATTTAATTTTTCTTTTACTTAATCCACAAGATGAAGCATATGATAGACGATTAGCACAACATTTAGCTTCATGGTATCAATATGGAAAAGGAGGTGAAAATGCTCATGAAGCTATGGTAAAATCTATTCTTTCTCAAAAAAGAATATCATTTATTTTCTTTATAGGATATTGATTTACTTCGAGATTATATATCTTATGCACGTACATTTGTTAGTCCACAATTAACTGAATTAGCAGGCAAACTTCTTGTTAGTTCGTAAGTAATCAAAACAAAAAACAAACCGATTAATATAAATTGAATTATTTGTATTTAGATATGTTGAAATGCGAAAAGTTGGTAATGGTAAAGAACAAATATCAGCATATCCAAGACAACTTGAATCATTAATTCGTTTGGCTGAAGCACATGCAAAAGTTCGTCTTTCAGATAAAGTGGAAGAATTTGATGTTGAAGAAGCTAAACGGTAAAAACATTAGATAAAGAATCTTTTCTCATGAAAACCTATTTATGTTTCAGACTTTATCGTGAAGCATTAAAACTATCAGTAAGTTTTACATAGATTCTCACAATTATTTTATCTCAATCAGTTCTGTTTAATAGGCTGTTGATCCTAAAACAAATCGTGTTGATGTAGCAATTTTAACAACGGGTATTAGTGCTAGTGAACGTCGTCTTCGTGCTGATCTTGTACAAACACTTGAACATTATCTTGAAGAACGCAAATCAACACAGAGTACAGAATCAATTAAAAAAGATACATTATTTAATGAATTTCGTAAACGAATTAATAAAAGTATAACACGTGATATGTTTGACGATGCTATTCGTGCATTAGAAGAAAAAAAATTCTTGTTGCAACTAATCATACTATTCGAATTGTTATATCAGGTAAAACGAATCTTGGTTAAAAAGATCAATTTATTTTTCTTGTTTACAGACATCATTCATACAAACGACGAGGCATCTTTTACGGATTTATCTCAAAGTATTGAACAAGCAGAAACTGTAAGATAAACATCTATAAATTTATCCATTTAAGTAGAATTATTTAGGATGATGAAATGCGTGAATTAATGGATCATATTTATTCATTAATTGATATCACCAAACACAATATTAAAAACTCAACAGCTAAACGAACAACTGATAAAAATGTAGAACTAGAAGAAAACAATTTACAAGTATTAGAACAAAGATTAATAGGGTGTGGGTGTGGGTGTGAGATGGTTCTGTCGTCTTCACCCATAGACCCACACCCACACCCACATCCCAGACCCACATATCCACACCCACACCCACATATCCACACCCACACCCACACCCACACCCACACCCACACCCTTATCTCTCGAAAAGATCATGCTTGATCACTGGGAAGATGGGGACCCACTGATCACATGATAAGAATATTTGAATTATGCAACAAATATTCGTGAAACCAATTAAATTAAATTATTGAAATGTAGACATATAATGAAAACAACGATTAAAAGAAAAAGACTGATTTGGAACAATCTTAGACATTTAAATGAGTGTCCATCTCTGGTCAGGCGATCAGGGGAAGAGGGATCCGAAAAGATTACGCTTCATCACAGGAAGGGGGTTCAAAATGGTTAAAAAGAGTGATCATGTGATTTCCGAACAGTCCATATAGGACTTCGACGATTACATGCAGCAGCACCGAATCTATTTCAAATGTTAGTTTATGAATAAAAAAACAATAATAATTTTTTTTACTTATTTTAGTGATGGTTTATTATCTAATCTTCGTTTTGGTCCAACTGGTTTATTTTTACCAGCTAATAATGAACCTTCTTCATCAGCAACTACTCAACCTACACCATTTGATTCAATAGCTATTGGTAATACATCATCATTAAATGATTCAAATAATCATGCAGGTGTATTTGGCCAAATATCGAATATGACGTCAAATGAAAATATTGTATATTTTTATTTAGATTTGTTTTTTTTTTGTTTTTTTTCTGATTTTTATGGTATAGAATACACCACCAGATCAACAGGTTTGCTATTCAATTAGAACAACTTGTTTCAATGGGTTTTACTAATCGTGAAGCGAATTTACAAGGTAATTGATTAAATTGTTTTTTAAATTAATCTTTGTCTTTTCTTTTCAGCTCTTGTAGCATCAGTGGGAGATATAAATGCAGCTATTGAATGGCTTCAATTTCATAAATAACTTTTCTTATTTTTATCTGGAAATGATGTAATTCGAAACAACTTATAGGAAAAAAATATTTTTAAAATAAAAATCGATTTTTAAAAAGTTAAATATATACTCAATGAATATTAATACATCTTGAACGATTAGCAAGTGAAAGAGAAAATTTATCAGTAAATTGATTATCTTCTAAATAATATTTTATGCCAAATGTAATAGCTGTCAATACTTTATTATCATCAAATTTGCCTAACTGTAAACAAGTATAACATATCAGTATGATATAAAAGCAGGCAATTATCAACAAACTTTTTGTCATCAAAAATAATATTTTTTTCAATAGAAAATATGATTTTCAAAGAAATTAGTATGACACCGTATAGAATTCATACAATTCATATTTGTAGAAAATCTCAATATAATGATTCCTTGGAAATTGAAGAAGCGATAAATACATTAAAATTTGACTACAAACGTACGTTAAAAACATTAATTATTAACCTTTCGACCTGATAAATAGAAAATCAGATATTAGATACAGTGCACCTCAATAATATTTTCGCTATATGTATTTCTAACTTTAAACTAATATATTTCACTCATTTTTTAATAATGAGTATACAATGAGAAAGTACAGACTTCATTGTATCATATGGTCGATTGATCATAAGTGACGAATGCCGATCAGACGAGAAAAAATATATTAAGAGAAAAGATTATTATTTTTCACCAACTTGTGATATCAGCAAATCTAATTTTTATCTTCTTGTTGTGTGTTTTTTACTTTATCTAATAAAAGTTCAATAATCGTTTGAATAGGTAAAAGTTTACATCCATCAATTCATGTAGCTAACTAAAAAACATACTGACATCACTTTATTAATCGAAATCTCAAAAAGTCCAGCGTGGAGTCAACGTATATTTTCTTATTTTGGTGTGGGTGTGGGTGTCAATCTTGCTTTCCTTGGCATCTACACCCACACCCACACCCACACCCACGCCCACACCCACACCCACACACCCACACCCCACACCCACCCACACCCACACCCACATTATATGCATCATTCTACACTAATATATATTATCTATACATTATTTATATTTCACATTATTATACATTATCCCACATTAATATACATTAATACACATTATTCTATGCCACCCTACATTATTTTACATTATTACACATTATCCTAGATTCTTCTGCATTACTACATATTAATCCACATCATTCTGCATCAGTATACATTATTGTACATTATTATACATTATTAAACATTATTAAAAATTATTATACAATATTTCCCATGTACGATATGCATTCGCCTACATTAGCTGTACACTGTTTGCACTATTCACATATTATAGCACATTCACTATGCAACACTATATTACCTAAAAAAACGACTAAAGAATCAACATTCCCTTATTTTTTAACCCCCACTTCTCAAGTTGAATTTCTGCAGCTTCCTACATTAAAATTAATCCCAATCCTTTTTATTATTCAATTGTCTTCAATGAAATTAATCCTTATAATTTTTATTATTTATCGCTTGAAAAAGAAAACATTCGAAAGGCCTTGCGTTAATAAAAATTTATTTATCCATTTATTTATTTATTTATTCTCTATTTCTTATCTTGATTATTTTTTCTATTCTTTCTCTTTCTTGCTATTATTCATATCTTTTTTTCAATTAAAAAAAATTAAAAAAATTAAAAAAACAAAAAGTAAATTTTTGCAAAACATACATGTTGATTTGTCAAATTTAAATAATTCACCTCAAAAGGCCCATTCTAAGTGGGAAATCATTTCTGAGGGGAGCCCCCGTTAACCTAAGAGGGTCTGGGGTGTGGGTGGGTGTCTTTGTTCTTGATTAACACCCACACCCTGTAGGGGACCACAGGGAACAATGGAGAAAAAATATCTCAGGGGGAGTACAGGTGGAATTTTGACGAAAAATGTTTTTTGATAGAATATACATGATTCGATGCAAATTTTTATCCTGATTCCGAATATCATATTTATTTTGCATGAATATTGAGTTTTGGTGGTCAAAATCTCAAAATACGAGTAGAATTTTTAGCATTCTCCCACTGTTTTCGAAAATATCGATTTTCTCAGCAAGGAAAGAAAATTATTTTAAACTAATATGTACTTTTTTTCCCTATCGGTTGATGATTCGAATGGCGTATGAATGTTGACGAAAAGTTTTAAAACAAAAAACTAGATAGCTTTGCGAGACAAGGATGTCAACACGCCATTTTCTTATCCTCATTTATTTCATGACCCATGATGGCTATGTCGAAACTCGTCTAAGATCAGTTGAACACATATGGTAAGACTCAGTTTGAGATGCTGAGTCTGAAAAAAGTGGTTTCCAAAACGTACAGTCAGTGGAAAAGGATGAATTTTGACTTTTTTTTTGGAAATGATCATTTTTTGACCTTTTAAACATTTTTCAGTATTTTCGACATTTTTGACCGAAAACTCGGTCAAAAATCAATAAAAAGTAGATATTCTGAATCAGCTCGAGGAGCTCTATTAAACCATATGTAAATCAACAAAAAAAAAATTTCTGCTGCGTTTTGCATTTCGCGCACCTTACATCATAACTCTTTCGAAATCCTAATGTCATTGTATCTATCATATTCAAATATTAAATTTCACGACATGTATGTTAGAATCCGAGCATCGAATCCATGAATGAATTTGACCATCCGAAAATCCATCGAATTCTGATAGCTGATCGGATTTAATAGGATCCAAATGGATTCATTCACTCAGAAAACATATATGTAGGAATTTCATGTGCAAGCGAAGATTATTTAGCACAAATAAACATGAAAACATTATTTTTACAATAAGTTAGTTTATTTGTCATGTCAGAATACATCATATTAATTAGTTTCGAATTGAAATTCAAAAAAGTGGTACTGTTAGTAAAAATGATATTATTCGTGTTTATATTAATTTTGAAAGTGAAGCTAAATATGTATATAAATAGTACAACTATTTTGTTGAAATACTACTTAATATATATATGAAAAAAAAAGTATCCATTTATTATATTATAGTTTCATTTTAGCTGATTCGTGTATATTTCACTTTAACAAACTACTTTCTTTTATTGAAAGAATTCCTAACAAAACTAATATTTATAATAAAGGAAAATATTGATGAAAATTTTTTGACCGGAAAAACGAATTTGCATGAAGTTTTTTTATTTTAGCACAATTGCGACATATTGCATCATTGGTAAAATTGTTTGTTATCATTTCGAGTGATTTGTATTTGATGCATAGATCTAACAAAGCAGGCAGATGAGTATTTTTATCACAGAGAAGTTGTTCAGTATAATCTACATGTGCTTCAACCAGGTTGAGTAGAATTAGACGAGGAAATATAATCAATATAGATGAATGTTGCTTATTTTCTTGTGGTTGATAATTAATAACACGTAACTCTTTCAAAAAAAGGAAAACATTGAGAGATAAGTTTGAATAAATTATGTTCAAAAGGATGTCCATCAGTCATTGTTAAGCATTGGACTGTATCAAACATATCACCTTGAAAAGAGTTGTTAAGATCAAGAAAATATTCAAATTGATATGGAAGTGAATAGACATGCGACGTGCCTACATTGTATTTTTTTCTATAATGGACATATGAACCAACTTGTCCATATCCTTTCCCAATGAAGCTACGTTGAATATCTTCGTTCGACGGAAGATCAATTTTAATGTTTTTGTCTTCGTTAACAACAGTTGTGTTTATACTGAACGTAAATTTGTTCAATTGTGACATATAAATAAGAATTTGATCATGTAATTGAATACCATCAATATAAGTCCAGTAACGTGTTAATACTGATAAGAATAATGTCAATTTTTTAAGATTTATCATTCGACGAAGTAATGGAATAATTTGATCGTCATAGTGAAGGGTGTCCTCCATTGAAGTCAATGAGAAGCATTTCAATTCGGGAAGTTTTTTCTATAATGAAAATATAATTAAGAATTTGTTTCTCTTCAAAATACAAGAATTGAAATTATATTTACCTTATTTTTGTCTGAGAAATTGAATGATATTTCTTTCACATGAATAATCAATGTTGATAAGTGTTTGAAACGTCCATCAAGAAGATAAAGACAATCATCAAAAGTTGCGACATTAACTTTTAGTTTAATTAAAGTCGAAGATGTGCAACTTGTTGATGGGAACTTATAAATACAAACTGCAGTCTTCCGATCATAAAACAATTGACAAAAATTCAAATTGATCAGTCGTTGACATGTAGATAAAATCAATGCAAATATACTTGATAGAATTTTAGATCCTTTTGATTTTGGATCGTACGAAACGTCAATATTAAGATGTTGAATTTGTTGAGTGAGAAGATGATGAAGAATTGAATTACCTGAGGATTAAAAAAAATAAAGACAATGAATTTATGTTACATTTTATTATTTAATACAAATAATGTACCTGTTAAATATTGAAAAAGTATTTCTTTTTGAAAATTAACAAGTGATAACGAGTCGAGTTGAGGATAATAACCAGTAAGAAGAATATGTTTCACTGAATTTTGTTCAACGATACGTTGATTTAATTGATGATGAATTCGAGGTAAGATTTTTTCACATATTTTCGATAGAATATTATTGTCTATTGAAAATCTACGATCATAATATGATTTTATGACCATGCTGGTCGTATCAAGATTGCGAATATGAAGTGAATTAAGTACTAATCGATTAAATCGTTTATTAACGTCCACAAGCGAATAGAGAGCATCGATTCTATTCAGTTTATTGAAAATGATGAGTAATATTTCATCGGGTAAATCGAGTATATTAAGATTATTCTTAATGGAAGTGTCCATATCTGATTATCTTATTCGTTTCATTTTATATATGGCTGTATTTCTCATTGCAATCTATGAACTCAATCAGACTGACTTAATTCAAAGTGAATTAATCAATATAATGGCCGTTGTTACGTGGAAGCACCAATTATGTTTCTTTATTCACTTTGAATTAAGCCAGTCTGATTGGAGCCATAGGCCCCCCAAACAGACTAAAAAAGTGAATTAACGTCGTGTCTAAGAAGAAATTTTTGATACTATTTCTCTATGTTAAATTATAAAAACGAATCTCTCAAAAAAAGTAAATTTTATGAGGTACATAAATAGAAATAAAAATTCTGTCTTTTTTAAAACGAAAACTTTATCCTTATCTTCCATCATATCGCACTGAAATAAGTAAAAAAACGATTAACAATTAATGAAAATTAATTTTTATTTAATTAATTTTTTTTAAATTTAAATTGTGACATCTATA